GTTTCAACTATAAAACTAATTAGAAGTGAACAATATTGTAAACTACTAGATCATATCTTAAGATCTATCAAAATCTTTACAGGGGCATTAATTTGGACTGAGCCCTGCACTAAACGTTAAAAAAAAAATCAAATCAAGAGTGCCTCATTTCAAAGTTCCACACCAAGCTAAACATAGTTGTGACCCTCTGAGAAACAGGAGAGTTAAGGGATCCAGGGAAGCTGACATTCACTTTACAATCTTCTTTCTGTTTTCCTTCGTGTTTTCTTCTACCAAGTTTTGTGAGCACTGTGTTAGCGGCAGAGTACGCTGGACCTCTTCTCACCATGAAGGCTGCCCAATTCATTTGCTCAGTGTGCTGTGTGTTTTGTCCACTTTATAACCATCTCTATCTTGTTTTACGCAAACTAGGAACTAAGATTCAAATCTTTTCCCATAACTGATTGTTTTGCTCCATTTGGAGTCTCTGTGCCTTGCTCTGGGTTAGAATAGAATGGGGGGGGGGGGGCACTTGCCTAGAGGTTGGATTTCCTGAGCTCTGACTTTTAACCATCTAAGGGATGGCTTCCCATTCTGCTTGCATGACCACCAACAGTGATCCCATGGGCTTGGGAACACACTGAACATTTTAGAGATCCTCGCTTAATCACCATTCCCCTGTCAGGAGTAAATACACACGACTCTCACCCTCCTGCCTCACTGTAAGCAGTGATGACTTTCAGAGTCTCACCTAGGATGGAGACGTGGATCCAGTCTTCAGGATTACATTTTGCTAATACCACAGCCCCTGCTTGCTAAGAATGCTGAGTGGAGGAGACAACCGATGAGACCCAGGCTGGGGAAAGCACAAGGTTAGTTATGTCTCAGGTTAACCCCAAGGCAGATGTAAATGTTCCACACTCCATCCAGATGTACACAGTACATATAGTTCAGTAGTGTCTGCAGGGACGCTGCCTCTTTTGCCTCTGGTTTGTTACAGGAACAATGCTAAGAGCCATCAAGCATCAGACATCTATATATAAGATCCACATGAGGAATATGGCCACATGTAGCTGCTGCTATCCTGGCCAATTTCACCCTTATTAACAGACCCCTCAATAAAGGTGTTGCTGTGCCTACTAAGTAACTGTTCTCACAGACTGCCTTGGAACTGGCTGGCAGATACCATGTTATCAAGTAGAAGTGATTCTGAGCCCTCTTTTCAATAGGACTGGAATGCCTATCCTCCTTCCAAACTTAAAATCAAGGTTATTTTCAGCTCTAACAGTGACCTTGTGGCTATAAGAAAAGTTTGGGGACAATGTCCCTAGGAGGGAAGAAATTACATGTGTGATGCCATCCTCTAAAAAGCACTGGGGAGATGTTTCCTCTTCCTTTTTTTTTATTTTTTGGTTTTTTGAAACAGGGTTTCTCTGTATTGTTTTGGAGACTGTCCTGGAACTTGCTCTGTAGACCAGGCTGGCTTCAAACTCAGAGATCAGCCTGCCTCGGCCTCCCGAGTGCTGGGATTAAAGGTGTGCGCCTCCAACACCTAGCTCCTCTTTTTTTTCTTATTAAGGACAAAATAATGATTTTAGGGAGTGTTTCCTGTTTCCCATAATTAATAATAATCTCAGAATATTAAAATCTGAGCTTTACACTGAAACGACCAGTTTGGCATACCATCAGTGTCTTCCTGGAAGTTCAGGATAAACTCGGTTTCCCTCCCCTTTCAACACCCCAGAGAGCTGTCTGAAAACTGTGGAGAGCCGACAGGTCCCACTTATCAACCTCCAGCCCAGCCTTCACAGGAGCCACTCAGGTTTTGACACAGGGGGAGCCTCACTAATGTGAAGGTTTGAAAATCATTACACTATGCCACCAAAGCTGGCTCAACTGTATTTGATCTGCCAAGTATATTTAACTAGGTTTCATATGTGGTTTTCTCCCTTTCAATTTTAATTTATATGTATTTAGAGGTCAGATTTCATACACATTCTCCATTTCTCTTAAAAACCTGAACGGCAGGGCAGCATGGCCCCACACCTATGAGTGACGAGAGGCTGAGATGCAAAGCTTCTTATCCTCTTGGGTGGGACATGGACTTAACAGCTCTTACCGGATCAGCCTGAGCCATGAAAGTCTTTGTGGCCCCACCTGAACAGTACCTTGCACTAAGGGACAAGGATTCCAGCTTTCTTAGCAATAGGAAACATCAAACAATGAAAAGGTCACTGAGCTGAGACTTTCTAGAAAATGCTTTCTGGGACCAGAGAGTCGACTCAATGGGTAGAGGTGCTTACTGCCGAGTCTGAAGGTCTGAATTTGACCCACAGGATACACAGGGTGGAAGGAGAGAACTAACTCCTCTGAGTGGTCTCTGACCCTCACAGGTGCACATGCAAACACCAAATAAATAGAATAATTATTAGCATTTTTAAAGTTTTCTAACTACAGCTTATTGGTTGTGCCACTGTTGCTGGTTAAGCAGGCTGCTCTGCCATGCAATGTTTGCCATGTTGCATTAACCAGTAACCGGGAAGCCAATGGGTTTGTTCTCCACAGGTTTATTTCTCTCTTGCAGTCTGGCCCAACTGGACCAGGCAGAGGGACTCTGTTGTCCACATCTCCAGAGTCACCTGAGGCCCCACCAGCTTGAGTACTACCAGGTGCCATAATAAGGGACAAAAGACTGGAGAATCAATCACACCCAGCACTCACTTTCCCCCCAATTTCATTGGCCACAGTGACTTAACTTCAACTAATTAAGTGGCCTGGGAAAGAACAAATGGAAACCTTGGTGAGTGTTGTGTCTCTACCACAGTAATCTCCAGTGGATTGTTTTACTTTGCTTAACCTTGGTTGTGAATATGTACCATGGTACCTAATGGTCCTTCCTCCCTCTTGAGGTTATAGGGAAAAACAAGTGAAAGAATTCACTCGAGAATATCACTCAACACTTGTAGTGGCATCTTGCCTTGCCAGTGAACTTGCAGTAGTGGCCACACCCTTCAGGCATGGTTTCAGGTGCAGACCTGACCCCTTTAAGGTAGAGGAGCTGCAGGTGGGCGCACTCTTATGTCACGGAGAACACTGAAAAGGCAGAGACTGCATCTTCAGGAACAGGAAGGCCACGGCGGTTACTTACTATTATCTGTGTAAGTTGTTCCCCAATAAAACACCTAATACCATTTATCTCGGGTCTGGTGAATTCATTTAAACCCTGCCTTCAATTGGCACCCATGTGGGTGGACTCCCGCGATCAGCCCATGAGGCTGGCTGGAATTCCGGAGCTAACCTCGCACAGCCTCACTGCTTTCTGGGGTTCCAGAAAGGGACACCTGCTGCTTATATAGTTTAGTTTAAGCCCAGTCTGCTAATTACCTGCTGGGCAGTTTCTGTGACCCAGCTGGAACACTCCCCTGCGCTCTCTGCTCACTGGTGCCGAGGCTTTGCCCAAGAATGCAAGGTTAAAATGGCTGCAGGACAGACTGTAGTGGAACCCGTGCGCCTGCGCTTCTATGCGCATGCGTGTCCCTTTACTCACATGTGAGTCACACGGCAGACATGGGGACTAAGGATACGGCAACGCTTCCATCCCTACAGCACCATCCACCTCATTCAGCAGGCCCTGCACTGATGGGAAGCACACAAAACACCACTTACCCGCAAACTCTCCCGGGCCATTTTTCAACTGTGTGGCAATCATTAAGTGCAGCAGTTTGTTAAGGAAGCCCAATAAACTCACTGGGTCACCACACTGAACTCAGGTGGAGTCACCCTTTAGTAAGGAGGGGGTAGGCATCTGCTTCCATCTTCCCAAGGAAGAAATTCTCAAAACATCAGACAGTAGGATGAAAATGAAGACGATGTCCACACCCTTTCCTTTTTTCACTCTTTGTCCTACATTCACTGGACATAACCTGGTCACATGTGAAAGGACTCAGGCATTACGCCAGCCTGCCCCTGTAACCTGGCAGAATGCACTCAGGCAGCACTCTGGTCAGCCCAGGGGTCCATGAGTACTAGTCTGCACTCAGGTGTAAAGGGCCCTTTAAAAAACAGACTCCCGCCCACTTATGCTCTTACCCTCTTCTCGTGCCCTCTCCCCCTTCCTCTTAGCTCTCCTCTCTCTCTCCCCCTTTGCCCCTTTCTCTCTCTCTTCTCCCCCTTTTAATAAACTCTACGTTTAATATATATCTTGGTTCATGTTCCATTTAGCGCGCTCTTTAACTTAAAAAAAAGAACACCACCACAGCCATATCAAGTCTCACTGAGGAAATTTAGGAATCGGTTGTCATGCTCCAGTCAGGAAGGAAGCCTAAGAGGGCCAAGTGGTAGATCCTGCCATTTGCACAGTCCAAAACTAAATCCATATTTGTTTAGAATTTCAGGCTAGAAAACAACATGGCTACCCCAACAGATCCAGTTAGCCCCGCAATCCTCAAACTTTAGATCTTTCTGATCAAGTACAAACCTATCTTTAATAAGTACCAGCCTGCCTCGTCACGTGGAGAACCGACAGAGGGAAGCCAGACGGCCAACAAGCATTTAATGAACTCATCCAAAGAAAGAAGCAGCCTTTGGAGTAAGTTTCTTCCCAAAACAGTTTTGTCCGGCTTTAGAGTCTACAGATGGCCCTATAGTAAGGTCTCCTTACCACAGCCAAAGGTCATTTTCTTCAAAGGTGTCACAAATGCCATGATTAAATGGGACCACACACCTAATGCTTTGTAAACTGTAGTTTTATATAAATATAAAGTTATACACCTGCCAAGCTACACTCTAATAAAGACCCTTAATCAATAAAGACATTTAAAATGTCAAAAATGGACAAATGTATTCACAACATAATCTAAAGATTCCAACAAAATTTACAGTAGCTACAAAAGAATTCAGCTGCCTACAATAGTTTACATTTGGTTTAGTCTATAGTATATTGCTTTGTCTTAGGAAATATCCCTAATACAAATGTATGATTTATAATATTCCCCATTATAACAAGAAAAAAATAGATCATACAATGTTTCATAGGCATTTATTATGCCAAGTATATAAACAATTACTCCCATTATTACATAAGAATAATATTCTTACTAAAAGGTAATATTTCATTAACCCAATGACCACTAAGAGATTTTAGACAATTCCAGAGTGACTTATGGCCACAAAAGAAACACAGAAGCAGTAGCAACCCCTGGGTGTCCACACATAACTGCAAATATCCACATATGTCAAATGGACCTTAAGTAAATGACTTATTACCAAGTAAAAACAAAATTTAAAAATCAGTTAACACAACCATCTTAATTTAGATTTTACTTGTTTGTATACGTCTAAGATAAGAAAGTTTGCCATAAAGAGCACATTAAAATTAATGACTGTTTCTAAGTCATACATAAGCATGTTCACCCTTACTCTGAGTCAAAACCTACCTCAGAGAAATATTCTGCAAGTACAGAGACGAAACAAACTGGAAGCCTCTTCCTACATTCTCTAGATCTAAAAGATCCATCAGGTGGAGGACATACCAACTTGAGACATGTTGCAGACACAGGACTGTCTATACACACATACACCACCAGCAAACTCTGACTGTCTTCAGGAACACCATACTTTCTAACCCCATTTGGTTTAAGATGAAACAAGGTCTCCTTTTAAATTACACTTTTAAATGACAAAGTTAACAAAACACCCCACTCTGCAGCACAGGTTGAGCTCTGAACGTCAGGAATCCTTTCTGTTGTCCCCAGAGTCCATGGCACATAGGCTCCATCTTCACTCATGAAGAAGTCTGAGCATCCGCAGTATTCTGCAACAGAGAAACACCACTCCTTAATATCAGCATTATATCATTTCACATAACCTTGGAGCTCACAGAACCAGATCTAGGAAAATACTGCATTTGGAGCAGTGCCAGCTCCTACATTACATTACTTTCAAAACCTTATTATTATTTTCATGCTTAAAATGTGAAAACAATGTAGAAGAAAAGCCTGTGGATTCCATCATCCACTCAGACACCCAGTTCATCATATTAAGCAAGGTGTCACCAGATTTTATGAGATATAACATTAATACCATACCAGACCCAATATTCAATAGCAAAGTCCCTCCCAACTTAAAACACTGAAAACCATAAGGGGAAAGACTAATATATGAAAACTAAAAGCCATCACAGACGGTGTAGTGACACATACCTCTAATCCCAACTCTCAAGACGAAGTCTATGAGTTCAAGGCCTGCCTGGTCTACACACAAGTTCCAGGCCAGTCAAGGGTACATAGTGAGACACTGTCTTAAGGAAGGAAGGAAGGAAGGAAGGAAGGGAGGGAGGGAGGGAGGGAGGGAGGGAGGGAGGGAGGGAGGCAGGAAATATAACAATACTAAAGCATGCACAACAAATGGACTGTAGCATGGAAGCATGTAAAAATCCAACAGTGAAAGTCATGTTGCTATGAGATGGTCCAGCATGTAAAGGTGCTTAGTTACCAAACTGGATGATCTGAGTTTGATCTCCATGACCCACATGGGGGAAGGAGAGAACCAAAGTTATCCTCTGACTTCCACATGCATGCCCTTGCACACACATGCCACCCCACCCCGTGTGTGTACAAACACACCAATAAGCAAGTGTAATTTTAAAAGACTATTGGTTTCCCCTACTTCTTATCTTCTAGAACAGGAAACCGTGAAGTAAAATGAAGTAAAGAATGAATCTCTAGAACAGAGGCAGCCCTCCGGCTTTCCACTCTTGAGTAAGTCACTGTGCCTCTCAATTCAGGTACTCAGTATAATTCTGACACCAATTTGTTAGAAGTGCTAACCATAACACCATGCCCACAGCTGCTGAATAAGAAGCCTCACAGGGGAAGGCCAACCATCTTGATCTGTCTATTGTGACGTGCTGGGGCTTGAGATCCACTGTCCTTTCAGAGACCTAGTGGACTTTCCCAAGACATTTAACCAAACCTGTAACCATAACAACTTCATTATCCCACTGAAAACCTCAATTTCAGCCATCATGCTGGAGAACTCTAAGGGGGCTGGAAAGATGACTCAGTGGTTTAGAACACTAGCTGCTCATGCAGAGAGCCAAGGTTCGATTCCTGGCAACCACTGGTGGCTCGCAGCCATCTATAGCTCCAGTCTCAGGATCCAGGGCCCTCAGCTAACTTCTGCAGGTACAGACACACATGCAGGCAGCACGCTCACATGCATACAAAATAAAATAAGGATAACTCCAAAAACAAATAAATAAACCCTGTGTTCTGAGGGAAGGGATCAAAGTACTTTAAAGCAACACAATTGATAAAACCCTTTCAACTTGTTTGTGCTTATAAACCCTGAAACCATGCAATATACACTCTTCAAGAACTTGCATTTAAAGCGACCATAATTAATGAAAAGCAACTGAACTTGAGATAATCTATGAGATACGAGTGATTGGCAACAGTAATTTATTTCTCTTGGTCTTAAAATGATTTTAAGAACTACTGATACGTTTCTGAAATGTTCTACAAGCCTTCAAAGAGCATGCCGCTGTCTCATGCTTACATAGCCCTGTAACTTAAAAGGAGTTACAAAGCATTTGGTGGACTGCAGAGATGGCTCAGTGGTTAAATGCACTAGTCGCCCCAGCACCCATGACTCACAACCACCTCTAAAACCAGGTTCAGGGATCCAATCAATGCCCTCTGCTGGCCTCTCTGGGGTACTGCAGACATGTGGTGTACAGACATTCAGGCAAAACACTCACACACGAAAAAAAAAATTTTAAGGAATTTAAAAACAAGCCAATGTTAAAAAGTCAAGTCTATAGGAGTCAAACATTATTGTATCAATTACAGACCATATCCAAAGCACACTTACTTGTCTTAGGAACTGCTTTCCAAGATATGAGGTCGCCATGCTGGTTAAGTTCTTCTTACTGCCCACTTTACACCGGATATACCCATACAGGTTGGCACCTTGCAGCACCACACCCATGATCACCACAGCCTGGGAGAGGGGGAAACAATCATAGTTACTAGCCCCAAACTGACTTTTCCCTCTGCCTCTAAACAAGACGAGGTAGACTATGGTGAGAAAAGGAGATGCTGAAAGTCAGGGGTTGAACCAGTGAGACTCCTTAGCCTGCAGAAAAGACCTCACTCATGCTACTCTGTAGAAGGCACCCCATCATTCATCAGGGGTCGTCATTTTCATCCATATTTGTTTTAGTTGCTCTTCTGTTGCTGTGATAAACACCATGACCAAGACAACCAATAGAGTTTATTTTCACTTATGGTTCTAGTGGGTTAGAGTTCATAATGGCAGGACAGGGGCCCAGGCAGGCACGGCAGCTGAGAACTCACATCTTAAGCCACAAGCACAAAGCATAGAGCAAACTTGAGAGTAGGGTGAGGCCCAAGCCTGCTCAGGAACATATTTCCTCCAGCAAGGTCACAACTCTGAAACCTTGCCAAACAGCACTGGAGACCAAACATTCAAATGCCTGAGACTATAGAGGAAACATCTCATCCAAACCACCACACTACCCATAGCCATTCTCATAGTCTGTCTTTCTCAAGTCGAGCAGATCAGGGAACCTATGCAGCACCCTGATGAGCACATGTCGGCTGGTTTATAGAAGGGGAATAAGCCGCTCTTCCACAGCAGGAAGAAAGCACTGTGCAAAGCTGAGTGGCTTGGAGATACCCCAGACACCTAGAACTGAGAGGAGAGAGGAGACTCACAACCACTCATTAAACATGATTAACAAAAGAATTACCTAACAAGAGGATGTCCTACAATTAAACACTGCAAAAGTTAGCAAACAATTTCTGGAAATAACATGATAGTTTAGATCCCATGGACCATAAATCAAGGTATTTCTCAGTTCTACCACCTTAGTTCCAAAGCATTCACAGGCAACATAGCATGCAAACAAACTGACCAAGCTGTGCTTCAATAGCAATGAAGAACAGACTGGGCAGGCCTGAAATCCAGTGGGCCAACCCCTGCTCTACAATCCTGCTGTCAACAAGTATGTGCAGTAAACAATAAAAGATGCAACAGCTACACAGGATTCTGACCTCCAACTCACACTCTCCTTAACCCATGACAAACTGAATAACTGGTTTTAAGAAAGATTTAAATGTTTAACTAAAGAACTGGTTCAAAATCTAACAAAAGGAGTAAAAGGAAGGAGGGAAGCATCCAAGAGGAGGGCATGAGGGGAGGATCTATTAAAGTATAAGATAGATTTGAATTAAAATATCTTTATGAATTTTATCACTATACAATATACAAAAGCCAGTAACTAAAATTAAAAAAACAGTGTATATATATATATATATATATATATATATATATATATATATATATATAAATAAACCTGAAAATAATCAACCAAGTTGGGAAACATTGCAAAATGACCTTATTACTACAAATATTTTACCAAAGTTCTGAAATATATTTATTAAAATGAAAAAATACAGAGCTTATACTTTCTGCTTTAATCTTATGTTTCATGGAAATGCACAGAAGATTAGAGACAATTGCCAGATGCCTAAGTAAACACAAAACCTCATGTCTACTTCAGTGGCCTTCAGCAACTTCCCAAGTGGATACTGGGATGCTCCTAGGTAGTAAGTGTTCATCCCAGCATGCCACGGGACAAATCCACTTGCAGATAGAGCATGGATCCCACTGAAGCATCAACTGTATTAAAGAAAATAAATTCTAAAATGTATTTCTAAGTTGAGGATGAACAGTGAAGTCACACATCACGATCTCCCTCCCCTTAAGAAGCAGCAAACGGGGTTTTTAAATTATTATAATTCTGTGTGTGTGTGTGTGTGCTAGTGCATATATGCACATGTTCATATATCTGTGTGCATGTGTGGGCACACATGCAATGTAAATAAAGGCTTATGTCAACATTGGATATTTTCTCACTCATCCTACACCTTATTCTAAACAGAATCTCTCACTGAATCCAGAACTTGCTAAGTTGGCTAGACTGGCTGGGCAATAGGCCCTAGGGGTCCGCCTACCTCTGCCTCCCCAGTACTGAGATTACAGGTGTGCACTGCTACACCAGCCTTTTACGGAAAGCTTGGGGTCTGAATCAAGTTGTCAGGCTTGAGCAGCAGGCACTTTACCACCTGAGCTGTCTTGTCTCCCAAAAGCCAACAAGCACAGAGAAGAGCTGCTGGTCAGAGAAACGGAGAGTCTAGTGCCACTCTGCAAAAAGCTGCTCCCCACAACTCACAGAGAAGCACCAGGCCAAAGGCACACATAGCCGAAAGAAAAAATGCAGAAATTCAAGACTGGACTGACTCTCCCAGAGCTGAGACCATGGTAGGATTAGAGGCTCAGACAAGTGTTCACAGCCAACCAGAAGACAGAAATGCCACTCCCTGGGAGGAGGCAAGATCCACATAAGCTAGTAAGGGCAGGGGAGCCTGGCTATGCTCCTCTTCACATCTGTGTGTGCAGACAGACCACCAATCACAGCACTCCAACTCAGACTCATGGCATGACGGTAAGTCTCAGTAAACGCAGGAAAGACATCAAGAACAATTCCTTATAGGACAGCAGCACAGACAAGACAGCCTACACAAGAGCTGCCAGTGTGAGTGGCAGAAAAACAGACAGGAACAAAGGAAAGCCCCTCCACAGAACCACAGCAGAAGACATCAAAGCCAACGACAGGGCAGACTCCTTGCTGGAAAGGGCAGAAGCTACCCTCTAGAAGACCTGAAGCTGAGAGTCAAGGTCTATGATGTAAGCTAAGAACAAGAGAGGAGGCTGACAGTCAGGAGGCACAGCACGCCTCTGCAGCCCCTAATCTGCTGCCCGTCTCCTGCACTTTCCATCACTCCAGGCATCATCATGTAATATCCCCAACTCTACTTTTTAGCACCTGTCAATCACTCCACTAGAACACAAGTTCTACAGAACAGTTGTCCTGCTTGGCTAATTGTTATTATGTCCAGCTCCCCAAGCAGCTGACAGACTGAGAACTCTTAAAACATCTGCTGACCAAATAAACAGAAAAAACAAATAAAAGAGTATAGCAAGTAGAAGATAGTGATGAAAACACACATAAATGAGCCAAGACAGAGACAAGTAGTATCTCAGAATTAGACAATGGCAAAACAGAAAATAAATTTAAATTTTAAGGTTAAACAAAAGCCAATTTTCCTGTTAAAGTAAAACATAATCTTGCACAGTGAATGGACACAGGGTACCAGAGAGGCTGACACACAATAAATATAGACTGTCCTGCTTGTAATGCTTTAACACTGGAGGAAAAGGAGGGAGGAAGGGAGGAAGGGGGAGGGAGAGAGGGTTCATCAAAGAGAAAAAATGACTCAATATTTACTTGGAGGTTAGGTTTTTTTTTTTTATCTTGAAGACTCACTAGCTTCAAATAAACTGGAGTAACATAATCAAGTCATCCTTCAAGAGAAGGAAGAGACACATTTGGCATAAAAAGTTAAAAGAGAATAAACCTACAAGTTATCTTTTAAAATTTCACCCGACAGTAGAACGTGGCCAATCAAGTAACACAAGAATCTGCAATAAATAAAGGACATGTAAATCGATGTATGTAAAAGCAGTCAGGGAAGGTTTGGCCAAGCACACACAGGGAGCTGAGTTCAAACCCCCGTGTAGTGGCACACACCTGCAATCCAGTGCTGAGAGCAGAGCCTGGCAGAGCCTGGGGCTCACTGGACTGCCAGGCCTACTCAGTGAGTGAGCGCCAAGCTGCAACCCCGAGTGAAAACCAAAGCACCACTTGGGGTTGTGCTCTATCTTCCACACGTACACGTGCAACAGTCCTGTGCTACCTTCTCACACACACATGCACACGTGCAACAGTCCTGTGCTACCTTCTCACACACACATGCACACATGCACACAGTCCTGTGCTGCATTCACACAAACACATGCACATGTGCAACAGTCCTGTGCTATCTTCATACAAACATGCACACAGCCATGTGCTATCTTCATACAAACACATGCACACATGCAACAGTCCTGTGCTACCTTCCACACACACATGCACACATGCAACAGTCCTGTGCTATCTTCATACAAACACATGCACATGTGCACACAGCCATGTGCTACCTACATACAAACACATGCACACCTGCAACAGTCCTGTGCTACCTTCATACAAACACATGCACATGTACAGCAGTCCTTTGCTACCTTCTCACACACACATGCTCATGTGCACACAGCCATGTGCTATCTTCATACAAACACATGCACACATGCAACAGTCCTGTACTACCTTCATACAAACACATGCACACATGCACACAGTCCTGTGCTACCTTCATACAAACACATGCACACATGCACACAGTCCTGAGCTGCCTTCTCACACACACATGCTCATGTGCACACAGCCATGTGCTATCTTCATACAAACACATGCACACATGCAACAGTCCTGTGCTACCTTCATACAAACACATGCACATAAGCACACAGTCATGTTCTACCTTCTCACACACACATGCACACGTGCACACAGCCAAGTGCTATCTTCTCACACACACATGCACACGAGCAACAGTCCTGTGCTACCTTCTCACACACACATGCACACGTGCAACAGTCCTGTGCTACCCTCTCACACACACACGCACACGTGCACACAACCATGTGCTACCTTCTCACACACACATGCACACGTGCACACAGCCATGTGCTACCTTCTCACACACACATGCACACAGTCCTGTGCTACCTTCTCACACACACATGCACACGTGCACACAACCATGTGCTACCTTCTCACACACACATGCACACGTGCACACAGCCAAGTGCTATCTTCTCACACACACATGCACACGAGCAACAGTCCTGTGCTACCTTCTCACACACACATGCACACGTGCAACAGTCCTGTGCTACCTTCATACAAACACATGCACACATGCACACAGTCCTGTGCTACCTTCATACAAACACATGCACACATGCACACAGTCCTGTGCTACCTTCTCACACACACATGCACACGTGCACACAGCCATGTGCTACCTTCTCACACACACATGCACACGTGCACACAGCCATGTGCTACCTTCTCACACACACATGCACACGAGCAACAGTCCTGTGCTACCTTCTCACACACACATGCACACGTGCAACAGTCCTGTGCTACCCTCTCACACACACACGCACACGTGCACACAACCATGTGCTACCTTCTCACACACACATGCACACGTGCACACAGCCATGTGCTACCTTCTCACACACACATGCACACAGTCCTGTGCTACCTTCTCACACACACATGCACACGTGCACACAACCATGTGCTACCTTCTCACACACACATGCACACGTGCACACAGCCAAGTGCTATCTTCTCACACACACATGCACACGAGCAACAGTCCTGTGCTACCTTCTCACACACACATGCACACGTGCAACAGTCCTGTGCTACCTTCATACAAACACATGCACATAAGCACACAGTCCTGTGCTACCTTCATACAAACACATGCACACATGCACACAGTCCTGTGCTACCTTCTCACACACACATGCACACGTGCACACAGCCATGTGCTACCTTCTCACACACACATGCACACGTGCACACAGCCATGTGCTACCTTCTCACACACACATGCACACAGTCCTGTGCTACCTTCTCACACACACATGCACACGTGCACACAGCCATGTGCTACCTTCTCACACACACATGCACACGTGCACACAGCCATGTGCTACCTTCTCACACACACATGCACATAAGCACACAGTCCTGTGCTACCTTCATACAAACACATGCACACATGCACACAGTCCTGTGCTACCTTCTCACACACACATGCACACGTGCACACAGCCATGTTCTACCTTCTCACACACACATGCACACGTGCACACAGCCATGTGCTACCTTCTCACACACACATGCACACGTGCAACAGTCCTGTGCTACCTTCTCACACACACAGGCACACGTGCAACAGTCCTGTGCTACCTTCATACAAACACATGCACATGTGCAACAGTCCTGTGCTATCTTCATGCAAACACATGCACATAAGCACACAGTCATGTTCTACCTTCTCACACACACATGCACACGTGCACACAGCCATGTGCTACCTTCTCACACACACATGCACACGTGCACACAGCCATGTTCTACCTTCTCACACACACATGCACACGTGCAACAGTCCTGTGCTACCTTCTCACACACACAGGCACATGTGCAACAGTCCTGTGCTACCTTCATACAAACACATGCACATGTGCAACAGTCCTGTGCTATCTTCATACAAACACATGCACACATGCACACAGTCCTGTGCTACCTTCTCACACACACATGCACACGTGCACACAGCCATGTTCTACCTTCTCACACACACATGCACACGTGCACACAGCCATGTGCTACCTTCTCACACACACATGCACACATGCAACAGTCCTGTGCTACCTTCTCACACACACAGGCACACGTGCAACAGTCCTGTGCTACCTTCATACAAACACATGCACATGTGCAACAGTCCTGTGCTATCTTCATACAAACACATGCACATAAGCACACAGTCATGTTCTACCTTCTCACACACACATGCACACGTACACACAGCCATGTGCTACCTTCTCACAAACACATGCACACGCGCACACAGCCATGTGCTACCTTCTCACACACACATGCACACGTGCACACAGCCATGTGCTACCTTCTCACACACACATGCACACGTGCACACAGCCATGTGCTACCTTCTCACAAACACATGCACACGCGCACACAGCCATGTGCTACCTTCTCACACACACATGCATACCCACAAGCATATCAAGAACAAAGAATCAAGGATAATTATTATCAATCCTATCAAACATAATAACACAAGAACAAATAAAAATGGAGGAAATACAGGGGCACAGGAATGTTCCTTTTCATCCACATCAAGTCTTTTAAGTCAATAAAGACATCTAAGTGTAGCATCCAGAGGGACAAAGAAAAGCACTATACCTAAATTAAAACTACAGATCAAGATTCATCAGAGAGATCCATAAATGATGTCTCCTCTACCACAACAGCAAATCCATAAACTCTGAATGCATCTCCTATTCTGTGAAAGGAGGTCATGATACAAATACATAAAGATGATATAAAAATGATTACTAAAGTAAAAACAAGCAGCACGCCCACATCCTAACAGGAAGATATTAGTGTACACACACAAAACCAAGTTTTCACAGCAAACCAGGGTCAGGAGATATAACAGGGATCTAGTGAAGGACAAAATACATGAAGAAGCCAGTGTATGTCAAATCAGTAAACTCAACTGTTACACAGACAAGACTCACAGTTTGGCTCAGGTGACAGACTGTATCTTTCCAACAGGACAGCAACTATATTTCTGTTTCATATGCTCTTCCACATCCTCCTAATCCCCAGAAGAGATCCCAGGCTCCATTGCCTTGATCATGGTGAGTGGCAGCAACAGTGACCATGAGTTCAACCGATGACTGAGCCTGTGAGCTGGACCACCCCAAGGGTTGCCATGAGCCAATGGTCGTGAGGCCAAAACACGGTTGACAGTTATTCTAAACTCTTGAGGTCTGGGGTGATGTACTAGCTCAGCATTAAGCAAGCACAAGAGGTTACCAACCACTGTTCCCATAAAAGACCACAACAACCACTGACACCACAAAAACTCCAAGTGGCTGTGGCCAGATACCCAAGGAAAAACAGAGTTGGGGACTAGAACCCAGAAACACAAAATGAGGCCGTCCAGTCAGGATGGACCTGATGCATAGGTCAGATGATGACCACCTGCGGTCACACTCAAACTCTGATACTCACCAGCCACTTCACTCTGAAGGAGAAGAGCGCACTAAAGGCAAAGATCACCCACAGGATTGGACAGGCGATGAGTCCTAACCAAAAGATTCTTGACTCAGCCTCAGAAATAGTCTTGTTGTCTTGAGGAGTTGACTACAAAAACAAATAATACAGAAGTCAATACAACCACTAATATCAGGTTCTCCAGTAAGTCTCTTTTTAAACAGAAAATACACTGTGCTCAAATTCAAAGACTAATAGAGACAATCCATGTCCAAGCTGAAACCAAAAGCACAAAACTAGTGGCTCTACGACCACAACAACCTTGATAAATGAACTTGTGCACTTCGTTGGATGTTTGCAGCAGAACAGGAAGATATGGCCTTGCACTAGCACCGTTTACTCATAAGAAAGCGCTGCATGAAGCCTTTCTAGGTAAGAGTTACAGAAATCAAAGAGTCATCTAGGAGATTTCATATCTCAGCAAAACCCAGGACTTGACGAAGGTTCTGAGTTGTTTGCATGGCAGATTGGATGCCAGGAACACAAGCTCACTGAGCACAGTGTCGCTTTCTGTGAAGCACTACTTGGAAAGGCTCTTCCAAGCACAGGGCAAGCAATTTAACTGTTGCCAAGATTTCTATCCTCTGTCTCCCAAAAACTTTCCTCAAGGAAATGGAATGTTCACTATTAGGAAGCAGGGTGAACCAAAACAAACAGGCTCCCATGGTTCCTGAGGGCACTGGTTTAAAGACTAGACCGATTATTCTGACTTTGCACCCAGAGCCAAATGGGTACAAATAGGAAATGACAATGGGAGCAAAGTCAAAGATATGGGAGGAAGTATCTGCTGAACACAGAAGGATCCAAGGTGATGCCCAGCAAGGCAACAAAGCCAGGATCACTGGGAAGACTTTCATCAGCAGGCAGACAGGCAGTTTAGTGTGGCCTGCTCTTAGGTTTCTGGCCTGTGAATGCCTGTTGCCAGACAGAAGCAGCAAAAGCATTGTGCTTTGGAGGCTGTCTGACTTAATACTAACAGTGCTGTCAATCTTAGACTCTTCCTTCAGTACTCAAAGGAACCTGCACACTCTTTATCAGTTTACCTTTCTGGACTCAAACACCCAGTGGCTCTTCCCATCCTCATCAATATGATTCCACCAACGTAGGCCAACCAACAGTCTACCAGTGACATTCTGGGAAAGAGTAATATGAACACACATGTTTAAACATTATTTAAAGCATTATAAATCCCATCTACTATAGTGTACTATTTCACAAAATTCTTCATCTCTCCTCCAGAATAGCCAATTGACCCCTAAGCACCAGTCCTGGCTAAAGACTAAACAAAGTGGCCAAGCCAAGGCCAGGATGCATGGAGCTCACAGGATAAGCAACAGGCCTGCCCAGAAGCACTATCCTTTCTTCTACTTAAGATGGAGCACTGTCCTTCCACTCAACCTCTAATTCCTTTCTATATCTTCCCTTCCTTCTATTTTTAATTTTTAAGATGGAATTTGTCTTAGAGTTACTATTGCTGTGATAAAACATTATGACCAAAATAACTTAGGAGGGAAAAGATTTATTCAATTTATATTTCCACATCATAGTTTATCATAAAAAGAAGTTAGGGCAGGAACCTGGAGGCAGGAACTGAAGCAGAGGCCATGGAGGAGTGCTGCTTACTGGCTTGCGCCTCATGGCTTGCTCAGCCTGATTTCTTATAGAATCCAGGACCACTAGACCAGGAAAGGCATCATCCAAAATGGGCTGGGCCCTCCCTGAAAAATTACTAAGAAAATGCCATAGGCTTGCCTACAGCCCAATTATTTTGGAAGTATTTTCCCAACTGGGGCTCCCTCCTCTCTGATAACCCTATCTTGTATCAAGTTGACACAAAACTAGCCAGTACGGGGTCTCATATCATAGCCCTCTCACTAACCTAGAACTCACTGTGTAGACCAAGGTGGCTTGAATTTGTGATCATTCTGCTCCTGCCTCCCAAGTGCTAAGACTACGGCTATGCAATACATACCCATCTTGGGCCCCTATTTCTTCTAGTCTTATACTGCCAAGTTCCTTTGTTGTGTAATATTACTTTAACTATGTGAAGATGTGCTACACTTGTTTGTGCTGTATTTGTTTAACAATATAAAGATTTGTTTCTTTGCCAGCCTAAGGCACCTGATTGGTCTAATAAAAAAGCTGACCAGCCAAAAGCTAGGCAGTAGAGATAGGTGGGGCTGGAAGACACAGAGCATAAGTAGGAGAGAGAGGATGAGGGAGAAAGAGAGGGAAACTCCCGTGGCCAGCCAGCCAGGCAGCTGCCAGACACACAGACAGACATGGAGTAAGCAAGAAATTAGGACATAGAGAAGGAAAGAAAGGTAAAAGGCCCCTGCTGTTATCTGTGCTACTTTTATTTTATCTAGTGTCACTGTTTCAGCTTAATCTTTTCAGTCAAACTTTGTTTTTTAACCCAATCTCATAAATCTTATCTTCAGAATGGGATTTTAACCAACATTTTATTTCCTTAAAAGTATAATATTTACTACTAAAACAAATGTGCTCTTACTTCCAACCCCACCTGTACACATCGAAGATGCTTCAGACACTGAAAACCCAACACACACACACAAAAAATTTTGGATGGTGGTGGTAAACGCCTTTAATTCCAGCAGAGGCAGGTGAATCTGAGTTGAGGCCAAACTGGTCTACAGAGTGAGTTCCAGGAGAGCCAGAGTTGCACAGGAAAAACAAACAGAAAACTATCCTCCTATGGAGGCAAACTTGTCCTTGCCCCTGGTTGAGAAGGACTGATCCCAAGTACCATATGGGTTTTGAAAAAAAAAAAAAAGGACACTTCCTAAACATTTGTAAACAAACTATGTTGGAACTTTACATAGAAATTATACCCAAAAATTCATAAACAACACTGGATAAAATATGGAGATTCTATGGCTACTAGTGATATTTTGTGGCTTGGCACATGGCACCACCACTGAGCAGTGTCCATGTGATCAAATACACCAGCACTTTAATAAAGGGAAGGCCTAAAGTAACATAAATTAACACCAATCCAAAATGCTGTCCTGTTTCTTTCAATTTATTCTTTACTTCAACTCATATTAAGCATAAACTTTAAAATAAAAACAATAGAACCTACCTTCACTGCCCAAAAGTCACATGACAGCAACAAGATAATCGTCACCATACAGGCAATAAAGCTGCTGCTGAGCAGCTCGCAGAGGAGGTAGACCACAACCGCACTGACGCGAAAGAACAGATGGAAGAAGGATGCCACTGGGTGTCTGGAAATCAAGACATAAACGTCTCACCCCAACAGACCCGTAGCCATGAAATAAGCAGTGCCCCGGGAAGGACAAAGCTTACTTCTTAAGTCTCCATCACTTAACTATATTACATAGCTGACTCTGACACCTCAATGAGGATAAACTTTCAAAGCACCTAATCAGAATCATACCAGCTCAGATTATCTAACCACTTCCAGCATTACATCCAAGTCACCATAGGGAACTGTCTCTTCCTTTCCTCCTCCTCCTCCTCCTCCTCCTCCTCCTCCTCCTCCCTTTTTTTTTTCTCCTCCTTTTTTAAAGATAAGGTGTCACTAGGTAGCTCAGGCCACCTTCAAATTCATAATCTTCCAGTACTTACCTCTGAGATTACACACATGCATCATCATACATGTATATATGTATACTTTTTATAAAACAGTTTTGTTGGCATGAGTCAAATGCCACACAATTTTTCTACAAATTAACATTTTAATATAGTCAGCTGTGTGACCACCACCAAAATCAATTTCACAACATTTTATTATATCAAAAAGCAAGTCTACACCCACTGGCAATCATCCCTCTTTTGTTCCTAACCCTTTCAGTCCTAAGCTGTCAATCATCTTTCGGCCTCTATAGATTTACCCATTATGGACAGACACCTTGTCTAAGTAAAATCACACAACATTTTCTCTCCTGTAGCCAGCACCTTTTCACTTAGCACAGTGTTTTCAAGGTTCAAGTAGAATTTTACTTTAAGGGAATTTCTTTAGAGAGAATACATTTAGAAGTACACTGGATTTTATTACTTATATAAGATAAAATTCTGAAACTTACAAAAGAAATAAAAATGTATCTACAGAAATTATAGTTTCCTTGGTTTTTGTGATTTTTGTCTTTTTTTATTACTAAGAACTTAACCTAGGGTTTTAAGTTTTACCACTAAGCTAAACCACACTTCCTATAGAAATTATATAAAGAAATGGTACATCCTCAGAAAATAGCAGTCAGCACAGACTTCAAAATATCAGTGCTCAAATAACTGATTTTTCAAATTTGTTAAATTTAAAGCTCAGTGTTGAACAAAATTCTACATGCCAACTACTCCTAAGAAAATCTCAAGTTACCTCTGTCTCATACTATATAATTCACTTGCACAACTAACCTACTCTGCCCTGGATATTCGCATGGGCTCCTTTTGAAAACCAGGTCTCGAGACGGCAGTACTGGTGTGGGAGGTACTGGAAACCTTAGGAGGTGGGCCTATCCAGATGGAGTGGGTACTTAGGGTAGGAATGGTTCTCTCTGTTTCTCGTCTACCATGAGGTGAACAGTGTTTCTCCACTACATCCTTCTGTCAAAATGTCCTGCATCACCATGGGCCCAGAAGCACCCAAACAAAACAGTGCCCATGCACTAAAACCTCCCAATACACTTAACATCCCAATACACTTAACATCATCTTTTTTCTTTGTTTTTGTCAGATGTTTTCTCACATCAAAAAGTGGGACACTGAGCTGAGTGTAGTGGCTCACACCTTAATCACAGCACTAGGGAGGCAGAGTCAGGCGGATCTCTGAGCACAGCCAAGACTACATGGTGAGACTACGTCAAAAAAAAAAAAAAAAAAAAGGAAAGAAATCAACACAATCCCATCGGCTGACACCAACAGTGGACACAATAGGTCAGACAGAAACACAAATCTAATTCAACCTTGTACCTGATTTTGGATTTTCTTGGTCTATTGGTTGTCTCCTCTTCTGCATCAAACAGCGAGACATCTTCAGTGTCATCATTGCTGTCCTATAGGAAATTAAAGATCTATGATAAAGATGAAATTCAGTGTGTGTATGCCTACTATATACACATCTACACAATCCTCAAAATTGAAGGTGAAATCATGAGTTACGGCTACCAGGAACTCACAGCTTAGGAAATGAGGCACCTGCAGATCCTCCACCCCAATCTGAAAACAAACAAAAACTCCCCCATGACAATCTAATAACCAGCTAACGTCAGCCTGAGCCCTGAAGGAACATGGAGGAGCAGATGATGCTCCTAAAAGCTGACATCTATCCTAAGCTGCTCTCTCCCAAACCACAGAGAAAACGGAAGCTACTGGGGATAGACTCAGAAAGCCACGTGACTGCATCCGGTTTCCCTGACTCCTCACAAAGCTTCCTCTTATCTGAGATTAAACAAACCTGCCTTGCCTCTAGGACTTGTTCCAGCTCTGTCTTCCTATTCTTCCTTTCAACTCCGTCTTTCTAAACAATATATAAAATCCTTCCCACCAGAGTGATGATCCCGGAAGATGAAGGAAGTGCTCCCAGAAAGATCCCAACAACTGAAGAGTGCTGCTCATAAGAGGAAAAACAAATGACCACTGGGCTTCTAAGATTCTTCTGTGAACGCCTAGATACAGAACAGCTGGGAAGGGGGGAGAACTAACGAGAACTGATGAGACTGACTTAAAATCCAAGTACACACAAGTGTTTCAAGAACAATGAATGGGGCCACATCACAGATGTCGCGTGGGGAGTCGACCCTTTTCATAGACATTACAGGTGCGGCCCCTTGTGCCTGTAATCCTAGCACTCAGAAGGCTGAATCAAGATGATTATCATCAGTTGGAGCAGGTGAAAAAAAAAGAGAAACTAAAGCATGTTTTTGTGCTAACAAGCTTTTCAAAAGAAAAAAAGGTGGGAGGGGGAAGGCCATCAACAGTGCAACAACCGCTGAACACTTACTTCCCAGAAAGCAAGGGGGAAGCCAGTGCATGAGCCGCAACCCAAGAGTCCTACAGAATCCACAAAAGCGGGTGGTCAGGAGCAAAGATTGCAGACAGGAAGGGGAATCGTATGAAAATTCCTTTGGTGGGCTGCATCTCAGTGAAACAAGCAGCAAGGCTATCAGACCAAAAAAAAAAAAAAAAAAGACAAGGGGATAATTATTTAAAGTTGCAGAAAAGTTTTAATGCAAATGCTGCGTGGGGAAGGGGAAGCAGAAACTATAAAAATGCCAAATGCCTAGCAGGTGGAAGAGTTTATCCAAGGTTCACAGTCACCGGCTTCAGAGTAGGAACAGTTAGGAGCAGAAGGCATGGTGGTCTTCCCCAGCACCCTTCGTTCTGGGTGCACCTCCAGAGAGCTGAGTTAAAACCACCAACGGGTTTTCTCCACGCCACATTTCCCCACAGCAGACTTCTCTGATCACATATTCTAGTTGGCTCATCCTCAGACACTCAAGTGACTACCATGTCTTTGCTATTATGTTCCGAAAATATGCTGTTCCCCAACCTAACCTCTCCCCTCCCCAGGCCCTTTGTGGATCCCTAACCTCACAATTCAGAGCAAGAAACCTGTCTGTGTTATTCACTCCTATTCTGGACCTGGAGCAGTTGTAATTCCTGGTAATCCCGCAGGAAATTACTTGTAAAATAAAAAGAAACATATACAATCTAAATGGGAGTTCATAGTAAATTTTTAAAGGAAGGAAATACTATATTACGTTTACTCATCTCTAGCCGAAAGCCAACTGGCTACAGCGATCCCTCGGCAGCACAAATGTGATAACCATCGTGACTATCAATGTAACAGCATGGTAACATCTACTGGAAACCAAGGACCGTCCCGCACTGGAGAGTTTGGGCAGGAGAGCTGACGACGCCTGCAGGCCGCTCCCCTCATCCGGGTGGGCTGCGGAGAACCGGGTTACCCTGACATCACCCCCAGAGCTTCCCGCAGCCAGAGCTCCACGCCCGCTGACGACCCGCCTCTACACAGCATCCTCAGCTCCACTCCTCCTGGGTCCCCAGTCCACCCGACCCTCGGAGCGCACAGAACCCTCTAGCGACAACTGGCCCGGACCCTCCACGTCTGCCACCCAGCCTGCCCTTCCTCCAGCTCAGGCAGTGGACAAGCACACGGACACAACAGCCTCGGGGGCTGGGCAAGTTCCCCCGGCCCCAACTCAAGCGATGGCGCCAACTCCCGACACCCGGCCGCCCTCCCTCACCTGCGACAACATGACGGCCCTGCGCCAAGCCCACCCCCAACTTCCGGGATCCACGTCAGCGCAGCTGCTACCGGGTCTGGTGTGAAACTGACGCGGGTTGGTCACCACAGACCGGGAAGCCAACGTCCAGGGCCAACCGGAAGCCACTTGCCGGCAACACTTCCTTTTCAATGAGGCTCCTGGGAGGGAGCAACTCCCTGGACCGGAAGAGCAGTAGGCGGGTCCCTGCCACAGAGGGCAGGGCCATGGAGTGGGAGGGGCGGAGAAAGCGGGTCCAAATGGCGAATGCGCCAGTAAGTGGGCGAGGCAGAGGTGGGCGGGGCGAGCGTGGGCGGGGCAGGAGCTTGCACCTCAAAGCAGAAGCAAAACACCTGGGAATGAATTGGCTAAGATAGTAGGTCCTAAAGGGAAGCTTCACGAGTTATGAAGGAAAAAAATTTTTTCTACCTGTGAAGCGCAAGCTGTGAGTCATTACCACCAGAAATAAATGTGTCCTAGGAAAGGAGTGAAAATGATTAAGAAAAAGGCAAGAGGACTAACATAAGCAGTGGATGTGCTGCAGTAAAGGCAGAGGCTGGAGCCGTGCGGCACTTGAGTTTCCGCGTCTGCCCCCTCTATGTCGATTATATAACCAATCTCTGTGTATATCTTTCCTGGGTTGTAAAACGAGGATAGTGATGACTTTACAGGGAGGTGGCAGTACAATGTTTTCATTGCCGTTTTAAGTCACCTGATTGTGTGATCCTGCCTAGATCTAAAGTTCAGAGACTTTGAAGCCATCTTTGAGATTGTGATAACAGCAATATTGTTTGCTCGACTTCTGTCAGCTTGTTGGAAGACTCGTGCACTGTCCATGCCCACCTTTTCTTAACCGAAGGGACTCTATTCACTGATATCCAGATTGTTATCTGGCACTTTGCCAGCACTATTTCAAACCTACTGTCAGAAAAGTGAAGAAACATCAACATAATTTATTCCTAAAGGAGAGAAAGTCGGCAAGGTCACACACCTGTGTGTGAAGGTGTGGACAGATGATCTATGTCCTAAACTGCTTGGACCTTAATGAATGCCATTGGAATTTGTTACCATATTTTTTTAAAAATTTAACAGGAACGTTTAACAGGAAAGTGAATTTCTGACCTGTTTGGGTTTTTTTTTTCTTTATGGAGGGTGTGGTGTGGGGGGGGGTGTTTGCTTGCTTTTGAAACATGGTGTTGCCTTGTAGTACCAACTGACACAGATGCTCAGATATCCTACCTTAACCTTACAAGAGTTGGGACTTAATGAAGGGGATGGTCTGACTGTCTCTGTGTAGAGACTATACTGTTTATACAGGTCCTGAGGCCTTCAGTGAGCCACATCCCTGCTGGTGAGCTACTCTTCAAAATTACCTAACTTGTCCCTGACACCACCCCCTAAGTATTTAAATAGGAGCCTCAGTATTAGTGGCTCTCCTGTATGAAATATGAATGTGCTTCATTTTCATCATATGGAGTATGTTCAGACCAGTGATATCATATACAGTGTTCTAAATACAACTCAACCCTTTGCACTCCCCACCCCCCTTACCAGAACTGACCTTTATTCTATGCCAAAATGCCAAGAAATATCTATATATTCTATATTTCCTGATATTCACTTAAAATCATTCTGGAGGCAATGATAACCCTAACGTGGCAGTGATGATTGGCATCTAACTGCCAATGATGCCCTCACCACATGGACACCCATCAGTGACCTTGCCTACATCTCACTAAGTGGAAGGCAGATGGCACTCTCTCCCTGTTTCCTCTTGTCTTAGTGTAATACTGTCTATTACACTGTCCCAGAAAGGTTCATGTGAATTGCCAAAGACATGTCAAAAAGAAAAGAAAGACCCAGACACCAACGCTCACTTGGTTTTCTGTTTGTTGTAATGGTGCTGTCAAGTTCCCAAGCATGGTTTAGATAAACACATTTTGTCCAAGTTCGGGGGCCGCTGTTTTCCCTTGCTTCATGAAATTATCAATAGGCAGGCCTTTGATCTTACGAATCCACGCAGCTTTGCTGGCTTTACCTGGGTCAACGACTTTAGTGGATTTACTGGCTTGATATTGCTTCATCTTGGCTTCTCTATATTCTTTCTCCTCTTTGACAGTCAACAGCATGAACCCGGTGTTCACTCTAAGAGGATCCAGGGTTGTGTAGAAACGTGGCCGTTCTTTCCTGAGAGACAGGGTAGTTGTGCCACCTCGGGGAGCAAGCATTCGGTTTGGTTTAATGACCTGCATGCTGGTCAGGGGGCCAACCCGGCGCATCGCCCCATCAATTGAACTGGTCAAGTGCTCATCACCCTTTAAGCTATCAGAGGCTCTGGAACGGATAAGTATGGGCTGGGGTATGGTGGACTGGACTCTGGGACTATGCAGGGATTTTTTCAAGTTGGGCTGTAGTTTTTGGATTTCAAGGGGAATATTGGTTTGCTTCACATCAGTAGGAAAATTGCTGTATCGCAGCTGGTCAACTGCATGTTGAACTGATTTTCCTTTGAAACTTAAGACTTTCCTTGGATATGGAATTGAAGGTCTCCAGGCATCAATGACTGGAGTTTGGGGCCTGTGGGGATAGCCAAATTCAGAATTGTGGACTTGTTGCAAAGCATTGACAGTCAGAAGGAATCGGTCAGGTGTCATAGGGACTTTCCAGAACTTTTTCCTTGGACGACTGATTTCCTCTCCAGGACTTTCCATATCATCTGCTTCTTCAGAAAGAAAACAAAAGCAGATCAGCATCCCATAGAAAATAGGACCACCTATACATAAAAGCTGGAGTCATTCTAACTGCTAGGCACACTGAGGTTTTGTTGCCCAAAAGGCATGCCATCAAACATCCCAGATGACATCAGAAATGATAATGGCAGAAAGGGCTTGTTTTTAATGATGGTACAAATATTCATGTAAGGTGTCTTATTTTTCAAGGCAGCCTATGTAATTCTAATGTTCTACACATGCTCAAAAATTCCTGTGAGAATGACTCTCACATCTCATTCATGACTCACTTAAAACAGGTCTTGCAGATTTATAGTATGCCTACATTGTCATCGATAATCCTACTACAAAGATCAAACCTCATTTAACTAACCAGTTTTTGTTCATGTTTCCCAGAATCAGGCCTGGATTCTAAGAATGTCACTCCTGCCTAATGCAATCTATCCTAGCATGGCTAAAGCTAGATTCCTATAGAGGAGTCCCCAGAATGCTTTGACCAATAGTTATGAATCCAAAATATTCACAAGAAAAACAGAATCCTTTCTACAACTTTACAGTCGAGGTATCTGTTATGATAAATCGAGGAAAGGGAAAAGAGGTAAAGAGACACAGAGGCAGGGAGAGGAAAGAAGAGAAGAGGGAGGAGACAGGAAAAGTCCTGTCTGCCCCAGGGGAACAGCAGGAAAGAGAGTGGGAAAGAGCATAAGTGGGTGGGGTTCTTTCTTTTAAAGGGGTCCTTTGTACCTACATGCTGACCAGAGTACTGCCTGAGTACATTCTGCTAGGAGGCAAGGGCAGGCCAGCATGATACCTGAATCCTTACAGTATCTAAGACCATTAAGTTAACAAAGATGTCTTCGTGGATAATCCATCTCTTACAGCATTCCCATTTTGCCTTTTTTTCCCTCTCTCCATGAAAACAAGGCCCTTGTTTTCAAAATAAAACTGGGCCAAGAAAAGGAGAACTCAATTGCCTAGTCTGAAACCTAACAACAATTTGAACCCAGAATTCTGCCAACAAAGGAACAGCAACCAAGAATTGTGCATATAATTTCCTTTGGTATGGGACAGGTGAGGGTATGGTGAAACTCCAAGTGTTCCTGATCTTTACTTTGTCAATTAAACAATGTTTTATTTAAAAAAAACTGGGATAGATAGGTTGTCAGAATCCTCCCCTCTCCTTCCAAATCTAGAAAACATGGATTTGTTTTCCTTTTTAATCATTGTTGTTGAGGGTTTTTCTTTTTTGTTTTCTTTTGTATGATAATATATCTTAGATCTACAAGTCAATACTCATACAGATCTTCATGGTATGAATCTTGGTTGTTATGTAATATTGACAGTGGTGGGTTACTGTTTACCATTGCCCACTCTGAATGACATTTTATTTGTTAATGAGCAACCTTAAGAAAATGTAAATACCATTTTTATTCGTCACATAAGCAGGATGATGAGATAGGAAGTTCCCAGAGCTGGCTTGCACATGGTGGTTTTTTTTTTTAAGTTCAACCATGACAATAACTATCTAGTTTTTTTATATTGTATTTGTCCTTTGGCACAGCAGTTTTCTTCCTAGGACTTCACTCTATAGCTACACCTGTATGTGTGTACAAATGTAGGATACCCATGGTTAGGGTAGACCATTAAATCTTAATTGTTTGGCTCACTTGGAAACCAGTCTACACGGGGAATTTGTTTCAAAGGAAAATTATTACTAGTCAAAAAGCATTAGAAATGTTTGCCAATGCTTTTCAAAAACATCAGAGAGGCTTCCTAGCCATGGTATCTAACAGTACTTCTTAAAATCTCATTCCTGTCACCCTCTCCCTCTTCTGCTTATCTCACATATGTCACACATACACCACACACACACACACACACACACACACACACACTCAGATCTCTCTCCTCTCTCAAGAAATCCCCTCCGACCAGCCTGACCCCCTCTTCCTTCTTCTGATGTGCCCGTTACTCCAAATAGCGCAATGCAAGAGGGAGCCAGCTGGGAGGCAGAAATAAGAAATGGATAAGGGGCTTACAAAGGCTTAGTTATTAGCCTTGAGTTGGTAATGAGACACAAAACTGGTCCCTCTTAGGAGGAACCAGTGGTAAACCAGTCCTTCTTTCAAGAAAGCCTAGCTGCACCACTCCCAAAGAAGCAGAAGTTTAGGCTGAAAAAAAAAGAAAGAAAAGTTAGGGCTTAGATCTTATTCAAAGTAAAATATCACCATTCATCTTCTCTTCGGCTTCAGGTTTTGCTTCCAGATTCTCTAGCCCATCTTCCAAGCCACCACCAACTTTCTTCCTGACATCCCTCTGGGGTGCATTTAGTTTTTCTTCTTCAGATGCCTCTATTAACATGATTAGGTTAAGATGGAAAAAGAAACCACAGTCATTATGTATTTGATTAGA